AAGGCCCACACCAGATGCCTTGATCTTGAACTTCCCAGGCTCCAGAACTGTGAGAGAATAAATTTCTGTTCTTTATAGATTACCCAGTCCCAAGTATTTTGTTATAGCAGCACAGAACAGACTAAGACTTGTGTAATCTAAAAAAGTTGAACTCATAGAAGCAGAGAATAGAATGGTGGTTTCCAGGGAAGGGCTGGGACGTAGGGGAAATGAGATGTTGGTTAAAGAGTACAAACTTTCAGTTATAAAATGAGTATGTTCTGGGGATCTAATGTGAATATGGTTACTATAGTTAATAATATTGTATTGTATGTTTGAATTTGCTAAGAGAGTAGATCTTAAGTCTTCACACACACAAAATAATGGTAACTGTGAAGTGATGGATTTATTAATTAACTTTGCCGAAAGACAAAATTACAACGAATTTAGTTTTGAAGATCTTAATTGGCTTTTATTTACCAATTGCACAAATCAGGTAACACTTCATCCCATAAAATAGAATGAGTTTCCACTGAGCTGAGCAGAGAAGGTTGGTTTCATAGAATGAAAAGGGCTGAGGAAAGCAGAAACAGAAAGCAAAACAATGATTTGTTTCAAAGTTACTTTCCTTATAAAGGTTAAAGCAGAGGGGACTTCCTTATCATGCTGCTTAAAGCTGACTAATCCCCTGTTGGGGTATTTAGCTATTAACTCTCTCTTCTGATTTCTCAGGTCAGATAAACAACTTAGTTACAGTTTGATGATGTGGTACTTTGGCATAAATGACTCCATTTTGGTTTGGTCTGTTAGGGCTTAATAGAGGAGCTCAGTCCAAAACAATGGTCTTCTAGAAATTTTATTTAACAACTTGATGTAGTAATCATTTCACATTGTATATCAAATCATCACATTGCCTACCTTAAATATACACAATCTTTGTCAATTATACCTCATTAAACTAGGAAAAAATAATAAAGCCAGTGGTTAGCAATCTTGGCTAAGTATTAGAATAACCTAAGGAGCTTTAAAAAAACAGCCAAAACAATTGTGGGTGGGATGGCATGTGCCTATAGTTCCAGCTGCTTGGGAGGCTGAAGCAGGAAGATGGCTTGAGCCAAGGATTTGAGACCAGCCTGGACAACATATTGAGGCCCCATCTCTAAAAGCAACAACAACAACAACAAATTGATATGTGTCCTGCACTCCCACCCTTAGTCCAATTGATTCAGATTCTTAAATTGCTTTAATGCCCTCCAGATGGTTGTATGAACAGCCAGGGTTGAGAATCCTTGTTATAAACACAACCACTTCCAGAAATATGTCTCCCCCAAAGAAAACAGTCCTTCACATTCCTATACATTTTGGTTTAGTTCATAATCTCAACTTGGTTCCAGCCAGTTTTATAATATTATCTGGACTTTGTGTAAACAAAAGACTCATTAATAGTAATAATGAGGCTGCCGAAAAAAATAGTAATAATTAGTATCACTGTTTATTTTGTTCCAGATGCAATGCAAAAAGAGCCTAAAACTATGGTGCACCAGCCTGGACAACATAGTGAGACCCTGAGATCCTGCCTCTACCAAAAAAAAAAAAGAGAAGAAAGAAAGAAAGGAAGAAAGAAAAGAAAGAAAAGAAAGAAAGGAAAGGCC